CTAGGCGTAATGCTGCTGGAAGGTTGCTTCTGAAAGCTACTTGGTTGATGCAGGCAGCCGGTGACTCAGAGACCAAGCGGCCCACCAAGATGTCTGGTAGCTCCAGGTGGTCAAGAGCTTGTACAGGGACTACTACGAGCTGGCGTGGACCCTTACAATATCAGGGCGGACGAAGCCTCTTGGATAGCGGCCTGGCTTCACTTCAGGATCTGAGAACAGCTGGCATCATTCATTTCGTGGACACCATCTCAGCCAACATCATGAGAGGCTGCTGGTGTCGAGGTTCACATCCTTCCTGAACCTCCTGGAATGCCATCCTGAGGAGATGGCCGCTCAGGAGATGTGGGTGAATACCATGCTCCCGCAGGTCCTCCTGGAGCACCCTACTCGCTCCATTCGCGAAAGCGTGCTGGTGGAGTACACCAGCCATCCGCATCCGGAAAACTTGGCTGTTATCTACTGTTGTCCCTAACCCCTAAACCTGAATGTAAACCCGCAGTCCTAAACCCTATACTATACTGATTCATGTTGCCATGGAAACATTTGAAGACAAAAGGACGTGCTGCGTTGCAATTCTTCTCACCAGTCAACTTACCTCCTAAGCCCACCCGAAGCCCCAAACCCTTTCACCCTTAATCCTAAACTCTACACACACTAAGCCCAGTCCCTACAGACCCTCTAGCCGCCCAGCCCTAGACCCTGCGGCTTAGGGTTTGGGGCTTCGGGTTCTAAAACCCGAAACCCTAAACCCCAAAACCCTAAAACCACAAACCCTAAAGCCCCCAAACCCCTAAAACCACTAAATGCCAAACCGCTAATCCCCCAAACCCTAAACCCTAAACCCACAAATGCCAAACCGCTAATCCCCCAAGCCCTAAACCCCAAAAGCCCTAAACCCCTAAACCATTTAATACCCCAGAAATCCCGTTAACGGAAGCCCAAAATCCCCTCTCTCCCTTGTACTTGGCGTTCCAGGGGACTTAGTAAGTAGGTTATAAGTAGGGTTATAAGTACCCTAAATAACCCTAAGTTTACTTATAACCGACTTACTAAGTTCCCTGGGCCGCCAAGTAGGGAAGCGATCGCTGCCTTCACCCGGCCTTCTCCGAGACGCAGCTGGCTTGGGAGGTCACTCCAGGGTCCTTTAAGGGATCTTAAGGTGTCCTTAAGGGTTCTTTTAAGGGATCTTAAGGGGTCCTTAAGGGTTGTCTTCATTTTGAGGGTTTTTTAGGGTTTTGGGGGCTTAGGCTTAGGGTTTATGGTTTTGGTGTTTTGGGGTCCAGGGCTTGAGGGCGTTTAGGCCTACGTAGTAGTAGAGCAGGTAACCTTTAGGCTTTTTGGGGTAGTATAGTTCCTTAGTTCCCATGATACCCGACAAGTAGGCGTTTAACCCAGCACCACCCTTCAAGGGCCCTCCAACGGAGCCCTTCTGGCCCTCAATAGTGGAGTTTGTGGGTCCAGGACGATTCTGGGCTTGGAGTTTAGGGGTTAGGGCCGGTTAGGGATTTGGGCTTCGGGTTGGGGTTCAGAGTTTAAGGTTAGGGGCGATACTACAGTCGGAACTATTGCATAGTTTTGTTCATTTACAACCCCTCTTATTGTTATTACGGTTCAGAGGGGGGTATGGTAAATGGGTTAGAGCTTATGGGTTATGGCGGTTCGGGATTAAGGTTTTGGGCTTCGAGTTCGAGGTTAGGGTTTATAGGTTAGGGCGTTGGGGTTTAGGGCTTCGGGTTATGGGGGTCGGAGTAATTCGTCAAAGTATCCCAGAAATGTGGTGTGACATATCCCGAAGAGCGCAACTTTGGCTTAGGATGTAGGGTTCGGGGTGTCGGGCGCATTTTGGGGTTTAGGGCTTTGAGGGCCGTAGATTGTTTAGGGTTTGGGAATTACCTACGGTCAGGATTTGGAGTCTCAGGCTGAATTTCATGATTTCGGAGTTCCTGTGTTGTTGTACAGTGAAAGCGTTGGTTAAGAATCCGCTGGGATCTGTTCAGGGAGGCTCAGATTCTTAAGTGTGCTTGTCTGCGAAGCACTCATGTTTCAGCCGCTTCGCAGCCTCGAGGGAGGCTCAGATTCTCAGCACATTCTTAGCTGAGGCTTGGACCAGAGACCACAGCAACTGAAGAGCTCGATATACCACTAGTCCAAAAAGCAGTCTTCAGAACATAGGTGTCTTCCTGCAATGTCCGATAGTGAGGCGATGGAGCTTGTGTCCGTGGCGTCCGACGAAGGTGTCGAAACCGGTCCTTCGAAGAAGGAACAGGTCTCGCTGCACCGGTACGGTCGTTGCACCTTCACTACGACTCAAGGACCAGTTGTGCAAACGACGGGCCCACAGAGCAGCAGCAGCAGCAACTCTTCGGAGAAGCCTTGGCTATCTTTGCGGCAAGTTCCTCGAAAGCTGAGCCCAAACCTCAAGTCTTATAGGAGGCCCGAAGAGGCGCAATCCCAAACTCCTAGTCCCTATTGCTGCATGTACAACTAGTGTAGTGTAGAGCCTACGCCCGAAAGCCTTGTAGTTGCACATTCTCACCAAGGCAGGAAGAGGCCGCAACGCGCCATCTCAGCTTTACGATTCGTTCCCTTAGGAGACCAAGTTGTGTTTACAGCGGAAGTATTGGTCAAGAAATCATTGCTCTCATATTCCTGCTGTGGCAATTTCTTATTGGGACCCGCTTGTGCAAAGACGACACCTTCCAAACCGGGACGTGCTTGTGCACATGTCTAAGGGCTAAGAATCTGAGGGCTCAGATTCTTAATTTGGAGGTTTCCACACCGGGACCTGCTTGTGCACAGGTCTAAGGGCTAAGAATCTGAGGGCTCAGACTCTTAATTTGGAGGTTTCCACACCGGGACCTGCTTGTGCACAGTCCTACTAAGAGCTAAGAATCTGAGGGCTCAGATTCTTAATCTGGAGGTTTCCACACCGGGACCTGCTTGTGTACAGGTGTAGGGGCGAAGAATCTGAGGGTTCAGATTCTTAATTTGGAGGTTTCCACACCGGGACCTGCCTGTTTACAGGTGTAGGGGATAAGAACTTGAGGGTTCAGATTCTTAGTTTGGAGGTTTCCAACACCAGGACCTGCTTGTGCACAGCCCTAGGAATTAAGGATCTGGGTCCAGATTTCAGGGGGCTCCAATTTTTAAGTCAAGGGCACACCGCCCATGAGTGAATTATCACTATGTGCGTCGAAATTCAGCCCGTCAAATTCTTAAGCAATGAATTCTTAAGCAATACTTCCTCTGCACCCTAAACCCTTCAAGACGTATGATGGGCAGAAGTTTTTTGAGTGTTCGTAGGAGGGCTTGCGCGGTTTAGGGTTTTAGGGGTCGGAGGTTTTGGGTGGTTCGGGGTTGAGGTTTTACGGGTTTGGGTTTAGGTTTTAGGGTCTACACCCCATGTAAGACCTTAGGAGCTTCAGGAGAAGATAGGGGTCCATTCTTGCGGTCCTGACCAAAAAGCACGGTTCTTAGGAATGGGATGTAGGGCTTATAGGGTATAGGGGATTTCGGGTATAGGGTCAGTCTCCGAATTTGCCTAACACACTGGTTCCTTGTGGTGCAGGACTCGGAAGCCGAAACTCTGCTGTGCAGAAAAGAGGTGGCACCATTGTTGGCCCAAAGAGCCCAATGCCCCTCAATAAAGGAATATGGCTTAAGTTATATAGGGCTTCATATTGTGATTTAAGTTATTTTCCTTGATTCAGGGGTATTGGGCTTTCTGCTGAGAAGCAGCGATCCCAAGCCATCTTTCTGAGCGCTCGCCATTTGGCGTGGGTGCGGGAAGGCCGATGGGGGATTCAGACTCGCCAAGTGGAGCGACTGACAGACTCAGCTGTAGAGGTCCAGTGCATACCTTGGCTATCGTTAGCTTTTTTCACACTCCACTGGGACCAGGCAAGGTTGTCCTGCCGACACCATGGCCTCCAACAGTAGCGGCTGGTGGGAGTGGGGGGATATGGGACCAGGACTACGGCTCAGCATGGGCCGGGCAGGCCTCGACGCACAAGGCTGCTCAAGATGATTTGAGGGGTTCCTCGTTTTTTCAATTCCCTGTCGCAAAATACTACTGCTCCTTAGGGTTTCCCTACCATAATGTGCCCCTAAACCCTATTGTACTTGTTGAGGCCCCTGTACCACTGAGTCATTTGCCTGGCGAACCAGCCTTGAACCCTCGACTCCCTTCATAGAACGTCCGAGCCAGAAACCCCTTATCCCTAGATCCCTGATTAGTACGCTTTGCCTTTTGATTTAGGGTCCCCTGATTAAAACGGAATAGTCCGAGACACGCGCCACAAAAATCCCTTATCCAGAACGCTGAACCCTCAAGCCGAAGTCCGCCCTCTGCCTCCAACCGAAAGAACACCCGAACACTAATACATGGGCCTTCATAACTAGAACAGGGTGTTGGGGGTTCCTTATTAATTACAACTATGGTATAATACATATAGCTCTTAACCCTGAACCCTACAACCCAATTCTAATTGCTAAGGCCCCTACAGTACACAGACTGCGTCGCCTAGGGGTCAAAGAACATCAAAGAGACAAACATATATACAAACACAAATAGCAGGGTTTTATACAGATGTTATAGATTACCCATAGGCCCAATCGTAGTTCGTTTTTGTGGTTCATATTTAGAATCCTAGAGGGTAATCCCGAAAAGGAACTATTATGGGGCCTGTCGGTAGGCTTCCAGTAGGCGCCCTTTCAACATACTAGCACCGGTAATAACACATTGATTTCAAAGACGAGAATGTTGATCCTTATAGAAACGAATACGAGCCTGGACGCTAACCCCGTGATCCTAGCCCGCAAATGCCAACCCGGGGCCCTAACCCTACGGCTCCGTGTACCCTTGTAGTATATACTTAGACCCTACAGTACCTTTTTGGGAGCCTTTCTTCAACGCCCTAGGTAGATACTATAAGGGTACATGGAGCCTTTGGGTATGCACACCGTTTCAACATGCGAACAACCGGGGGCCTCAGGCGAAGATGGTGAACTCAACGCAACTCATCACCGAGGAGGCTCGATGCGGGGGGCAGCCAATAAGGCTTCTTAAATACACAACAGGGGCCGTAATTTTTGGAGTAGGGTTTCGGGATAGATTATACGAGCTTTCATATACCTGGCCCGCAAATATACCCCAACTACCCACTATTGAAGGGCATAAGGACTATATCAAAGGGCCCTGGTACAAGGATCCTACAGGGCTTCGGGGTGTTTAGAGTTTAGGGCCTTTTGGTTGTGGGTCTTATATAACCCTAAACCCTAAACATAGGGTCTAAGGCTTTAAGTTGGTATGTAAGTTTGGGCAGAGGGTCCACTTAGGGAGCTTTGGTCTTGGGGTTTTGCATGTCGGGGGTTTCGCGCTACTGTCATGCGCGTCCTCGAGGTCAACCAGCTCTAGACCCAAACCCCTGAACGCTAAGCCCTGAAACCCTACTTGGAGGTTCATGGGTAGTTGTATGTAGGGTTATAAGTAGGGTAACCATACTTGTAACCCATATTAAGGGACTGATAACACTACTTAAGGGACTGATAACACTACTTTAAGGGACTTATAACACTACTTATTACTACCCCTGAACCTCCAAGCACATCCCTAGACCCTAGATGCCCGGCCCTCAACCCTAAACCCTCGAGGGGTTCTTCGAAGCGACGTAGAAGCCAGACGTTGTCATACAAGGACTGGGGCCATTAGGGGCAAAGTCAGCCTAGGTCAAGGTGCTTGCAACAGAAAGAGTCTCTATCGAGGTATTGCGAACCCCTCCCCCCACTCTGATTCCGCCTCAAGCCTAAGGTCAGTACGGCATAGAGGTTCGAGCTTTCCATACATCCTCCAACCAACAACCAAACTCGTCCGAAACATCCTTAAACCCCAAGACGTAGCCCCAGAGTCGAACCTCGAAACCATTCTGCAACATCGCGACCCCAAAAGCCGAAAGCCTTGAGCCCAAAGCACCAAAGCCATGACCCTTATAAAAAAAAACCCTAAACCCTAAACCCCTAAACCGAACACCTTGATCCCAAAGCCCTAAGTTGCCATTCATTGCAACTGCAGGTGTTGGGTCATCCTCTGCGCTTGGCGCTTGTCGGGAGCCTCTGTGGACAGAGCGGGCTGAACAAAACCCTAGCCCTACCTTAACCCTGAATAACCTACTTTTTTTAGGGATCCTTATTATGTTTTCTTTATATAAGTCCTTAAGAAGGCAGGTTATTCCGGGTTAAGGTATATAAGGGTCCAAAGAGTAGTTCTGTAGAATAGTATTTGGGGAGTATATGTATATGATTGTTAGGTACGTGAACTCTTGGGGTAAGCTTTTCTTGGGGTTACTCTTACATTAACAGGGGGTCTTTGTGGGTGCTGGGTTTCATGCAAACGAAAAAGGCTTACGAGTATGTCCCATGTCCCATAGCATCGACCTTTTTCGGGCCTTCTCGGTCACGACGAGCCCAAGCAGTGGTGGCGCCTGTGTGTCCACCGTATGGCCGAGGATGTGAGCTCTCCTAGTATGTCTAGACCTTGACTTTCATTTCAGGGGTTGGTATGATGGTGGAGCACAAAGCTCTATGCTTAGGCGAAATGTGCAAGATACATGTATCACTTCCGCTACGTCTGGAAACGGACGACTAGCTGGGCGTTCTCTGTCCGACATCTGTCCCTGGCACCTCGCTTCTCAAGCAACCCCTTGCACGTGCAATGTCTTGCTTGTGGTTCATAGTCTGCTCAGCCTGCTGTACACCTCCTTCCAAGCGCTTTATGCTTTCCCCCAAACCTGCGAAGCCATCAACACGGAAGCCAACAAAGCCCTTGGTGAGTGAGAAGTGACATAGTGCAGGAACATTAGAAGCTAAGAGCATCATTTCGGCTTAACGGATACGTTTCACAAATGTCCCTATGGCAGGAGACCCCAGTGCCTTGCAGAAGCGTTTTAAACCACAGTGTTAGGCTCAGAACAAGCTAGCTTTCGAGTCTTGGGAGACCTGACAGTTTACTTAGTAGCTGAGTGGATACACTTTACACTTTTGGGGAGAATATTACCCACTATTAAACTGAAAGTGTACACTTTCTTGGTGCTTGTGAACTCAGCAACTAAGTTTACAGTTAGCAGCTGATCAATCCTTGACTTCAGACCTCTCCAGCTTTCTGCTTCTTTGATGCAGGGTATAAAACCCCTAAACCCTAAACCCCTACACCCTTGAACCCTGAACCCTAAACCCTAAATCCTAAACCCTAAACCCTTGAACCCTGAACCCTAAACCCCACTCCCTAAACCCCAAACCGCCCTAAACCCTACCTAACCCAGACCGTGTCTTGGTGTTTTACCGTCCAAAGGGTCTAAGCCCAAAGGCCCGAGCCTTCGTACGTAGAGGGGCCTGAATGCTTTGGAATGCTAGGTAGTGCTTTGGGAGATTTATATGCTCTCTTATTGGGCTTCAGAGGATCTTACCGACTAATATTTTTTAAAGCCTTCGAAAGCCCCTCCTAGAAGGTTATTTCTATAGGGTTCCTTCATACTATGCCCCCTGATACCCCCTGATGTTATTTCTATAGGGCTCCTTCATACTACACCCCCTGATGTTATTTCTACAGGTTACCTTCGTACTATACCACCAATTTTTTTCTAATCATGCGAATGTAAACCCAGCTTCTCAGACCCGAAAGCCTAAGCCACCAGTAACTCGAAACCTGAGTACAGCCTACTTGCTTTGTTTCGTAGGCTGCCTGAACTTGTCGTATCATCCTGTGTTGAGCCCCCTGCGAATTCCTACCAAAAAACGGTATCACTTCATCATATCTGATCGAACCTTGCAAAATCAAGCCTGGCAAAATCCGATATAGAACCCAAATGATCGTCAAATCTCCAAAACCTTTTCAACACGCCGCCCACACCCTAAACCCTTGGGCCCCAGACCCTAAACCCCTGGGCCCCAGACCCTACTTGGAGGGTCTTTAGGGGACCTAGTAAGTAGGTAGCAAGTAGACTTATAAGTACCCTAAAAGGAACCCTAACTGGGGTTATGGTACCTATATGTCCCTAAAATAACCAGTTACTAAGTCCCCTGGGCCTCCAAGTAAGACCCAATATTCCGTCACAGCGCTGAGTTCAAACGCTCGGGCCCGGCGCTGGGCAGAGCTATCGACGAGCTCAGCCGCTTTTCCGCAAAGCGAACGATACTGTAATATAGGGGCTTTAGACTGATCAGAAGGTTCCTTGGAGGGATCTCTAACTGTTCTATGTGGACGTTTGGGTTCGGAGGTTGAGCGTAGTATCTAGACAAATATTCCTTGCTCCCTGCAGGTTCCCTCAATGATATTATACGATAATTTACCCACAAGAGCTTATTCTAACTATTGAGGCTCCACTTTATGCATGCTTTTGCATGGAGATTGCTGCTGGTGCCACTGCTGCCCCGCTTGCCAGGTCTGTGTGCTTACATACAAGTTGATAGCCAAACAGCTAAACAAATAGACGTTTAATCATAATGTATACATACACCTGCAGGTATGTATGTTCGCGCTACGAGGTGACTTCACTGTTTACGAGGGTTTACACAAGTGATGTGACTTCACGCGCGCTGATCTGACCTAACGTCGTCTTTTGTTGTGTTTGCTTGTGACGTAGGTATTGGGAGTAGCAGTTTTTAAGCGATTGTGGATGTGGTCGGTGTGGACAGCTCAAGCGGCAAGGTTCTACGATGCACTGGTTGTGGTTGGTTTAGACGTTTAGACTTCAGGCGCTTGAATTCAGGTTCTTGGGTTTCACGTTTTGGGTTTAGGAGTTTTAGGTTTGATGGTCTTCGGTTGGACGGCTTTATGTGGTTTCTGGTTTTAGTGCTTTGAACTATGGTTTCGCTGGAGCCCGCTTATGCTTGGAGGCTGGAAATGTGTTGGTCTTCAGTCTTCAGGGTGGGTGTACCATGTCATGTCGATACCCAAAGGCTCCATAGTAGTTCCTTTTGGGGATCACCTTATAGGATTCTATACGGGAACCCCAAAAAGGAACTACTATGCAGCCTCTGGGTAGTCTATAAGTCTGCATGCCTGTGTGAGCACGTTGCATCTATGCTTGCCTGCGGCTTTCCGACGATTTTGTGTGCGTAGGCACCGGGCCGCCTTTTGCAATCCTCCCCAATCTATGCCAACATTAGAAATGAGCGTTTCCATAGCATACTCACATCAAAATTGGTATACCTAGACTATCAGAAGCAACGAACGTGGAAACTGATTCTTGAGGGGTTCTTTTGGAAACCTACACACCGTGCATCGGATTGCCACCACTTGCTACATGATGCTACTCGGAAACATCATCCATCGACAGCGTTCCCGAACCGAGCCAAAGGAGAAGATCTCTACAACCTGGGCAGTGTGACCCAGATGCTGCAAGCCGATCGCGCACTCCCGACGGCCTTATGTATTGACTGCACATGGGAGCTTCAGGGAATGGGTGAGCTTTTCTTGCGGCTGTGAGTTGTAGGACGCCTTGATAACTCAATAATTACCTATACTATTTTGGGGGTTCTTTGTTATAATTTTAGTATGATGGGCCCCAAAACTCTATTCTAACTATTAAGGCCCCTATAGTAGACAAGTCCCACAGAAGCCCCACAGAGCCTCTTCGATGCAAACACTAATCCCCTAAACCCCAAGCGCTCAACCCCTAAACCCTGGACCCTTCTTAGATGCTCAGGGGACTTAGTAAGTAGGTTCCTGAAAATGGTTCCCCGAAAGGGATCTATAAGGGCTCCATAAGGGAGGGATTATGGTTATTTAGAGGCCCAGGGGACTTAGTAAGTAGGTTATAAGTAGGGTTATAAGTACCCTAAATGGAGTTACCCCAAGTATAACCCTACTTATAACCGACTTACTAAGTCCCCTGCGCCTCTAAGTATAAGACCCTAAGTCAAGTCCTTGGCCCTAAACCCACAAACCCCGAACTCAACCCATAAGGTCCGACTTCTTCCGTACCCCACTGCTGTTTGCTAGGAACTATGATTTAGGGTTTAGGGTTTAGGGTTTAGGGATTTTTTATAGTATAACTCCGGGGGATTCATAAGAATATTGTTTTTAATTCTGGTGGTAAGGGCGGCTAAGTGTAGCCCTGAATCGATGTCGCAAGGGTTCTGGACATCAAATCTGATTAGTGGCAGCCTGTTTTTGTTGGCAATAACCTTTCCGTAAGGTTCCTGATATGGTGATTTTTCTATGCGATACCCAAAAACCCTAATCTAATTAGCGATGCCCCTGTGTTACTACGTCAACTCTGCAACTTGTAACATGGATAACGGATGATTAGTGCTGGGATTCTTCCACACCGGCGGGCGGATATGAATCTTCAGACGAAGTGGCAATGAACACTTTATGGTACAACCCGAGCTCTAAGGCACGGAACCACCACAACCGCGTGCAGTCCCACGAAACACACACCGTTTCTTCCTTGCAGGCGTTGCACGCCTGATAGACTACACCTGGGGGTGCGGTTCTGTCGTGATACCAGCATGATGCCTTTCAAACCGGAAACAGACTACAAGCAAAGGCAAGGATTCACAACGTTGCACTGTTTTCTGAAACACCCACATCTGTTGCGTGATCTCAGGCCCTGAATTGTAGCGGTAGCGTGTTGCTCTCGCATCCAGTTTCTGGCTTCTAGGCTGCTGTAGTAGGGTTTAGCAGGGTTAGGGGTTTAGGGTTTGGGGCTTAGGGTTTAGGGAGGTTTAGAGTTCGGGGCTTGGGCTTGCAATCGTTGTTTAAGGATTAGCGCTGGGGGTTTTCAACTGGCTTGAGTGTTCCTTCAATCAAGTTTAAGTTTCTGTAAGGGCACAGAAAGGATTCGGCTATTCTCCTATGCAACACCTGGGGGCTCAGGCATGCTAGGTTGTGCAGGCGTCTTCGAGTAAGCTCGTTTCCGAACACGCCGCCTCCGGAGAGCGCAGCTTGGCCCATTTAGCCGTCGAGTCGGCGTTTGTGTATCTGTTGTCTCCGTGCCGCGTATCATTGTCTTCTGAGGCTCGCGTTCGTGGCGATGTTACTCGGCTTGGTTGCTTCAGTGCATTCCGTTCTTTGTCGTTTGTTTGTGTTGCTGCTGAATCCGTGAAGCTGTGCTTAGGAGGCTCCTGAAACGCCGCCGCTTCCTCCGGCGCTTTCTCGGCTCGCTTACCAGTCCTGTTTTTCGTGTTGTTCTTCGCTCGTACCTTGTGGTCCTCGGCTTAAGCTGAAGATGCTGGGCCTAGTGCCGCACCTTGGCATTGATTTGTGTCCCCTCTCTATCTCTTTCTCTCTCGCGCTTGTTGATGGTCTTGGGCTTAGGAGGGCCAGGCTTTGTCGGTGGTCGCGACTTGGCTTCAAGTTTGGTGGCTTTTGCTCTCTGTCTTTCTCTCTTGCTCTTTCCTTTCTTTCCTCCTTTTCTCTCGCTTTTTCGTGCTTGGATTCCGGCTGCCTGAGGAGGCGGACTACAACGTGGATAGCCTCGCCGTGCCCTTACCACCCCTGCTGGAGAACGATGTCGACGCTTCAGTGTTCAGGGGGTTTTGCTGGATTGGTGTGCTTGCGGTCTGGACGGAACGGGGATTTTATACTCTGAGGCTACGTTGCATGATGAGATCCTTGCGGCAACTTGGGCTGTTATTTCGTTGTGCATCTCGTTCGGTTCCTTGGACTGCTGCACTCAAGGCCCAGCTCGACATCCTCGCTCCCGAGCCTTCGCCTCCGATCGTGCGGATCTCATCGGTGGAATAGTTGGCTCTGTCTAGTAGCTCCTTGTCATTGTCCATACGCGACGCTGGTGTAAGGAGCTTGCAAGCGGGACTGCTGATGTACCGGCTCCTGGCTTGGCTGTGTGTGTGTGTGCGTGCGCGTGTGCGTCTGTGGTGTGTGCATTCGTTTTGTCTTTCCTAGGTGGTGGTGCCGGCGGCGGACGCGGATGCGGAGGAAGAAGCCTTTGGACCAACCTCCTGTCGGACGGGGACGGCGAGGCATGTGCAGATGCAGAGAGACGAACACGGAGAGCGGGAGGGAAAGAGGGAGAGAGGGGGCGTCAAAACGCGTTTGATGAGGGCTCTCCGACGAAGAGCGCGAGGATTGAATGGAGGCTGGCCAGGCTGGACTATAGACCTTAGGACATAAACGCGAAATCCCCGACCCTAAGCTTCACCACCGAGAGGCCACTGTTACCAGTGTTGCGACACATTCGGAACAGGGCTGCCTGCAACAGTGTGCTTGTGTGTGTGTATGTCTTTGTGGCTGCAGCTTAGGACCTCTAACTTGCTTCTCCCGAGATGTAGTTCTCTAGGAGGAAGGCCAATGATGTATGTGCCCGGTGGGAGAAGCTTGCCTCCCAGAGGGGAAAGGTTCCTCCATGGCCCGAGGGAGGCCAGGCCGGATGGAGCTGCGGCGAGGCTAGTGGGGTCAAGCTACTGGGCTTAACTTATAAGTAAGCTTTTGTTTTATACTAGCCTTATAATCTTTTCCCCCTAATATTAAACGGGGGGGCCCCCCCCCTAAATAAAAATTCGCAAATGTTTTTAATATTAGGGGGTGGTTGTTATCTCACATCCTGGTTATACCTAGTTTTACCCCACCCATGAACCCAGAGACTCCAAAACTTTGGAATTAAGGAATCAATCTTAAAATCATGATTATGGGGGATGCCACTATATTTTTGCAATATTCCTTAATTCAAGGGTTTTGGAGTCTCTGGGAAGCTTTAAATGAAATCCACGAGTCACAACAGGTCCAGACATAGTAAGGATTGACAGATTGATAGCTTTTTCTTGATTCTATGGGTAGTGGTGCATGGCCGTTCTTAGTTGGTGGAGTGATTTGTCTGGTTAATTCCGTGAACGAACGAGACCTTAACCTGCTAAATAGTTACATGTAACCTCGGTTACATGGGCAACTTCTTAGAGGGAAGTTTGAGGCAATAACAGGTCTGTGATGCCCTTAGATGTCCTTGGGCTGCGTGTGCGCTACACTGATGCGCTCAACGAGTTTGCAATCTTGCCTGAAATGGCCGGGTAATCTTTTTAAAGTGCATCGTGATGGGGATGGATCATTGCAATTAATTAAAAAATAGATCTTCAACGAGGAATTCCTAGTAAGCGCGAGTCATCAGCTCGTGCTGATTACGTCCCTGCCCTTTGTACACACCGCCCGTCGCTCCTACCGATTGAGTGATCCGGTGAATTATTCGGACTGACGCAGTGCGACCAAGGAGTCTTGCACTTGTGCAATCTGCAGGCACTCAGCCTTACGAAGACGGCCTTCGGGCCGGTGGTGGGGCCGAAAGGCACCACACAGACACACACTCACACACTCACACATTCACACACACACACACACACTCACACACACACACACACACTCACACAGGGCCTTTGGGCCCATCATGGTGCCGCCGAAAGGCACCACACAGACAAACAGACAGACACTCACTCACACACCCACACACACACACTCTCTACCGCCCCTCACACAGACAGAACAGAGACCGAGAGACAGTCAGACACGTCCCTTGCAGCCATGGGCGGCGAGGAGACGCTGCGGGCCAAGGCCTGCTTTTTCGATAGCAAAGCCAGAAAGCTTTAGGGGAATCGAGCCGCGAGTCAGCCGCATCAGAGTCGCAAGACTAACCTTTAGGCCACAATCTCTTGACAGAATGTTATAAGATTTCATCAGTATTGCAGGGGACATAGACCGTCTGACCCTGGGATCAGCTCTTATCCTCATCATCCGGAAGCATAGCAAATAAATTCTTACCACTCTGGTTAATTAACTAATTAGTTAATAATTATGCTGGCAGGATTGTGCTTGCTCGTAGTACAACCTGAGTACTGGAAGTGCCTCCTTTCGGATGCTGGCTGGATTGTGCTGGATTGTAGTACGGCATTAGTACTGGAAGTGCCTTGTTTCGGATGCTCGCAGGATGGTGTTCGCTTGTAGAACAACCTTAGTTCTAGAGGTGCCTGGTTTCGCATGCTGGCTGGATTGTGCTGGATTGTAGAAATTACGACATTAATTAATTAATTAGTACTGGAAGTGCCTTGTTCCGGATGCTGGCAGCAGGGTGCTTTCTCATAGTACAACCTTAGTACTGGAAGTGCCTGGTTTCGGATGCTGGCTGGATTGTGCTTTTTCATAGTACAACCTTATTACTGGAAGTGCCTTTTCCGGATGCTGGCAGGATGTTGCTTTCTCGTAGTACAACCTGAGTACTGGAAGTGTCTCCTTTCGGATGCTGGCTGGATTGTGCTGGATTGTAGTACGGCATTAGTACTGGAAGTGCCTTCTTGCGGATGCTCGCAGGATGGTGCTTGCTCGTAGTACAACCTTAGTACTGGAAGTGCCTGGTTTCGGATGCTGGCTGGATTGTGCTTGTTCATAGTACAACCTTAGTACTG